CCTTCTCTCAGATGTTAAATCACCCAGTCCTCACCCCCAGCCCTCTGAGGGCCCCCAGCCCTTCCTGTCTTCACATGAGGCAGAGCCCGCATGACCAGTCCCTGCTCTAGCCCCATGCTCAACCTGGAGGCAGGACTTGGCCCTCTGTCTCGCCTTCAAAAGCCAACCCAACTCCACATATCAGGTAGGGTACTGTAGGATTTTCCAAAGATCTTCTGAGGGGCAGTGGAGGCACTGATGTCACACAGCACATTGCAATTTTATCCCAATCTCCACGACCTTGTGTGGCTTTCCCACCAAAGTTCCTCTCTGACCTGGCATAATTTGTCTTGTTCTTCCCCTTTGCCCATCAGCTTCATTGGCTCCTTCCTTTCCTGACTTCTAGAATCTTCCTAACACCACCTTCCCCCATATCCAACCATTCACACCTCCCAGAACCATTGCACACCTTCCTTTGTATGCAGTATTTAGCTCTAGATAGGGGATCCCCCAGCCCTGCATCACGTCACCCACCATCTCACTGTGCAGACTCTTCTAGGCAAGGCACTGGAATCCAGCCTGTGCCCAAGCACGCTGACTGTACGGATTAAGAAATCAAGACTTCAAAAAAAAAAAAAAAAAAGAAAGAAATCAAGACTTCAATGTATGGAAAGTAGATAGTGGTTGCTTGGGGCTGGACTGGGGGGAATGGGAATGGGAAGTGACTGCACAGGAGTGCATGGTTTCTTTTGGGGTGATGAAAATGTTCTAAAGTTAGATTGTCATGATAGCTGCCAAATTCTGTGACTATAGTAAAACGCAATCAATTGTATGTTTTATTTTTTTTAAGATTTTATTTATTCATTCATGAGAGACACAGAAAGAGGTAGAGACACAGGCAGAAGGAGAAGCAGGCTCGATGTGGGACTCAATCCTGATGTGGGACTCGATGCAGGGAGCCCGATATGGGACTCGATCCTGGGACTCTAGGATCACACCCTGAGCCGAAGGCAGACACTCAACTGCTGTGCCGCCACCCAGGCGTCCCTCAATTGTATGTTTTAAATGGATGAGTTATTTAATGTGTGAATTATATCTCAGTAAAGCTGAGAGAGAGAGAGAGAGAGAGAGGGAGGGAGAGAGTGGGAGGGACAAAAAAGAGAAACGTGGTTTAGAGAAGTGACCTGTTCAGTGTCACGCAGTCAGGAAGCAGACCCAGGCCTGACACCCATGTTTCACCACCTTCTACTTATTCCCAGGCTGCCACTGAAGTACACAACCCACACATATAGGACATCCCTGTCACCAAGGAATTATTGCATCCATTAGCCACTAGCCTCTCAGGATAATTTCCATGTCTTAAAGGCATGAATCTGACTGCTAGGGTTCAAAACCCAGCTCTACCCCTTAATGTGTGACTTACAAAAGTTGCATTTCCTGTCCGTGACTCAGTTTCCCCATCAGACTATTGTAAAGGCTAAATGAGAGAATACATGTCAAGTGTTTGGAGCAGGGTGTGACACATGGTAACAGCACTGTAAATTACTGTTGTTGCCATTACGATGGTTACTCTTCCATGTTATTACAGGTAGAGAAATTGACTAAGGGTATGAAATGATTTGACAAGTCATGAGGCTGTTTGGAGATGGAGCTGAAATTTGGCCCCGGTCTTCTGAGTCCAAACACCAAGCTCTTTCTGTTCCACCATGGCCTTATCATCCCTCTTCAAGCCACTCTCTATGGCCCATCAGGATGCTTTTTGAAAGATGTAAATTAAGTTCCAAAATTTTTAAAAATGATATTGGAATGTTGAAGGTCATAAAGGAAACAGTGATGAATTCAGTGACATTATAGTTGTTTCCATGGCAAAAAATACCAAAAGCAGAGCCAGAATGCCAATAGCAATAATATGTATAACTTATTGGTGGCAAATAGTTTATTCCCTTATATAAAAAGAGCTTCTATAAAAACATAACGAACTATGAGGAAAATATCAACAACATATTCAGAAAAGATATGCACAGCTAAAAAATGAAATGCAATTGGCTCATAAATATTTGAAATGGGCTCACTTACAGTAAGAGAAAGAAATAACAAACATCAAATAAGTCCTGCTTAAAGTCCTTCAAAGGCAATTCATCACTCTTCAAATAAAATTCAAACTTCTTACCATGAACACAAGATCCTACATAGTCTGGTCCTGCCTACCAGTCTGATCCTAGATCACACTATTCCCCTTTGCTCAAGTCACATTGCCCTCCTTGCCCTTCCTTGAACAGGCTTGGTACTTCCTTCTTTTCTTCTTGAAGATTTTATTTTTAGAGATGCCTGAGTGGCTGAGCGGTTGAGCATCTGCCTTAGGCTCAGGGTATGATTCTGGAGTCCCCGGATTGAGACCCACATCTTGGGCTCCCTACATGGAGCCTGCTTCTCCCTCTGCCTATGTCTCTGCCTCTCTCTCTGTGTCTCTCATGAATAAATAAATAAAAATAAAATAAAAAAGATTTTATTTTTAAAGTCATCTCTGTATCTAATGCGGGGCTCCAGCTCACAACCCTGAGTCTAAGAGTCGCAAGCTTCAGACTGAGCCAGCCAGGCCCCCTTGGCTTGGTACTTTCTTGTCTCAATGCCCTTGCATGGTTTCCTCTGCCTGGTGTTTGACTTTTCAAAACAGTCATATCTTTATTTATTTTTTTTAGACTTATTTATTTGAGAGAGAGAGAGAACATGTGCAAGAGTGTTTAAGCGGGGCGGGGGGGGGGGTGCAGAGGGAGAAGCAGACTCCCAAGGTGGGTTTCAATCCCAGGACCCTGGGATCATCACCTAAACCAAAAGCAGATGATTAACCGACTGAGCCACCCAGGTGCCCTAAAGTCACATCTTTAAAAAGGCCATTCTGAGTTAATCTAAAGTAGCCACTCAGTTACTCTCTATCATATTACTTGATTGTAGTTCTCCTCACAACATTTATTATTATCTGATATTTTTTTCTATATCTGAGTTATATCTGAGTCTTTGTCTACTGATTATTTTTTTTTCTCTTGATTATGGGTCACTTTTTCCAGCTACCTGAAGGTCTAGTAATTTTTGTTACATATTGGACATTGTGGATAATGTTCTAAAGAGTCTGGATTTTTTTTATTGCATATGAGATGTTGTGGGTGACATGTTACAGGGAGTCTGGATTTTTTTTTATCTCCCTGAAAAGAATGTTGAGTTTTGTTCTGGCAGGCAGTTAAATTACTGGTGGATCATCTTAATCTCTAGAGGCTTGGTTTTAGGTTTTACTAGGGTGGGGTTGTTTTAGTTTTGCCTGTAGTCTTAGGGTGTGGCTGTTGGCCTTGGGTTTAATCATAAGGTGAGATCCTTTTGCAGTTTCAAAGGAAAACCTGAGGCAGTTATCAAGGTCCTCTAACTTGGTGGGAACTTGAATTCCAAACGCTGTTCCCTCAGCACCAGACAGCATCTGAAACCTCTGCCTCTCTGCTGCTGTTTCCTGGTGGGTTTCTTATTGCCTCACCCCGCCCAGACACAGTTTAGGAGTTGCCAAGGATTTGAGGAGAATTTGTAAGAGAACACTGTTACGGGTTCTTTCTTTCCAGGATTCTTCCTCTTGATTTTTAGCTTTTCTGGTAGCCCCAAATGTTGGCCAGTAGGATTGCCACTTTCTGTTTGAGGTCCTCAAATGGGGCAATGCTCTCAGGGGGAGACACTGCTTAATTGAACCTCTCACCACATCTGCTTCTTTCCTTTTGGAGATTGTTTCCTCCCTGGCATCTGGCTGTTTTTGATTGCTCTCAAACCACTGTATTTTATATTATATCCTTTGTCTCTAAGTACCTTTGGCCAGAGACTTAGATTGGTGCCAGCAACCCTGCCATTTCCAGAAGCATAACTCATTTTCTGACATGCTTCTATTTTGTGTGTCTCTTCTCTTGTTTATAAGCCCCCAAGGGGGGGAAAAAAGCCCCCAAGGACTCTCTCGGTCTTTTCCACTGCTGTGTCCAAAGCACCTATGACTCTGCCTGACACATAGTGCTTCATAAACACTGGATGAACACATGAATGAATGAATGAATGAACGAATGAATGAACGAATGAATGAATGAATCTCCTGCCTAGGTAACACTCACAATCAATCTGCCAATCTTTCTGTTCCTTGTCCCAGCTGCTAAATTGATTTTCCTAAAACATAGTACCTGCAGCTCCCTCAATGAGTGCTCAAAACACCATGGTAAATAGGCTCATGGGGCAGGGACATTAGTCGCTGTATTCCGCAACAACGCCAATGCGGGGGCAGGGTCCTCGCTGCCCCCTCCTCTCAACCTGCTTCTTCCCTTCCAGTTGTCCTCTGGAACCGTAAACTGTCCCCATGACTTGATCCAGGCCTGCCGGAGCCTAGGACTGGCTATCTGATTCTCAGAAACTCCCCTCCAGTGAGGACAGTCAGTAATAATCGAAAGTGGCCCTTGGCAGGGGGTAGGAAAAGGGCCTGAGACCGGAAGAGGAAGAAAACAGTGCTTGCTTTTCTAGATTTTTCTCAGAGATGGGACTGGACAATGCAGCCCCCAAACGTCACAGGAGCCCACAGCAGCCCAGGCGGATAGAACTCTCACTCCCCTCCAACCAGAAAACCCACATACGAGCTGAAGCATTCCCATCAGGCCGCACAGCCAGAATAAGTGGCCAATGAAGGGTCTGAAAAGAGGTCCATGTAAGTCAGGAGCGACAGTCCCAGGATCGGGCCGCCTGCCCCTCACTTGACAGATAAGGAAACTGAAGCTCAGAGAGGGGAAGAGATTAGGACACCCAACTGCAATACTGTTTAAGGCCTCAGTTTCTTCCTCTGTCACATGAATGGGGCTGCAAGTCCCCTTCTTCCTCTGAGGTCCTAGGTTCTGGGTTCAAATCCACAGATCTCCCTGGGGCACCTACTCTGTGTGGCGCATCCCAGGAAATGCTGGGGCCACGAAGAAACACATGGCACTGTCCTAGTGCCCGCCACGGGCACAGCAGCACATGAAGCCAACAAGTCCTTCACGAATTTGCGTGTCATCCTTGTGCAGGGGCCATGCTAATCTTCTCTGTATCATCCCAATTTTAGTATCTGTGCTGCCGAAGCTAGCGCTAGCTCGAAGCCAACAAGTCCTTAAAATCCAGGTGTCTGGGGGCAGAGGAGGGAGCTGTGCCTTCTGGGGGCGGGGAGACTCTCTGAAGATGCTGAGGGTCTGGAGGAGGCAGGGGTGAAGGATGCACATCACAGAACGCCTTGGCAGCAAATGAGAAAAGAACAAGGAATTTGGGAGCAGAGGGGAGGACTGCAGGAGATCTACAAAGCAAAGGGGAGGCCGAGGGGGATTCTTGGAGGTAGATCTTGGGGACTCTGCCAAGCTGGGGGCCGGGGGCTCTTGGGAGAGCATTTTCCACCCAGAGCTAGGGGTGTGCCTGGACCCTCGCAGAAAGGAGGCTCTTTCTCCAGAGCCCAATGCAGGAAGTGATGAGCCTGGCCCTGGAGGAGGTGTATGTGCAAAGGGTGAGAGGGAAGGGCACAAAGGTGTTTCTGGAACAGACTGTGTTCTTCGCATCCCCATGCTCAGCCAGCGCACAGGAAGCAGCACAGGAGCTCAGGGCGCAGAGGTCTGGTGCCCCCAACCTGGGAAGGACCCTCTGGTCTTCCCCACCCAGTAGCCTGAGGTGTCTTGGCAGGGAGTGGAATGCCCCTCACTAGGGTTGTGGTATGTCCTTCATCAAGGGCCAAGATGACCTGCATTTTGCTGGCAAGCACACCACGCCCAGCACAGTGCTGTGCACCAGGCTATGTGGCTCCTTAGGTACTTGTTTGGTGAATGAATAAATGAATGTATGAAACCGGGCAGGGAACTTTGCGTTGAGTGTATCCATCCAGTCACTCAACAAATTTGTATGGAGAATTTCACAGATGCCAGGCATGGTGCCAGGCGCCGAGAGTGCAGAGGTGAGCAACAGAGACATAACCTGGTTCCTCCCGCCATATGATCTGGGAGGCCCTGGGCTCTGCATGGAAGATACGCAGATGGTAACAGAATCCATGAACCTCACTGAACTGCCCTTCGTCTCTGGCCTTGGTTTCTGCTTGCCCGATCAATTTCCCATCCCTTCCTATTATTATTTATAATTTTCTTGTGCTGGGCTCTGGCTACATGAGTGGGCACGAGGTCTCACTCGTGGCCAGTAGTCACATACATCCCCTGGCATAGCGATTGGGCATAGAACCCAAACAAGGCTAATCGGAGGCCTCCACTGGAATATGTGGTTTTCTCTCTCTGTTGAGATCTTGAAACTGGGGCTGCCCATGGCCACGTTTCCTACCACGAGGAAAAGACCTTCCTGCTACAGGCGAGAACGGGGACACTACAGAGACACGGCTGAGCACTGGAAGGGGAGGAAGAGTGGTCATGCGCTGAACACTCAGTGCCAGACCCCGAGTTCCTGTGGCTCTTCCTCCAGCCTGTGGACCACTCTGGCTCATCAGCAGCCACATTTCCCTTTTGTGCTGACCTTGTGTGCATTGGGTTGCTGTCCTTGCACAACCCTATGTCTTGGAGCTGGAGACTTTCTCCCAGCCTCCTTACTCCCCAGAAGCTACCCTTCCAGGATTCCCTCTGACCCTCAGACCTGCAAATGAGCCTCCTGGGCTCATCAGAGGAGGTGCCTGGAAGCCACGCCTTCACCCCATCCTCCTAATCACCCTTCTGGCTGCTCCCCCAGAGGCCTTCTCACTCACGCAGATGATAAGCACATACTTGGTACTACAGGGGAATTAAACAATACGGCCTCTGGCCTCATGACATTTGCAGTGAAGCTCGGGAGGCAGAACTCGCAAAGCAATCCATGAAATAGTGACAAGGAACACATCAGTGTGCAAGACTGCCAGGTCCGATTCATACCGCATGGCTGGTGGTGAAGGTGCTCCACAGAACAGATTTTCCAGGTTGCTAACATATAACAAGAATCCTGCTGCAATGTCCACACTTCCTGGTTTCTCAGACATCCAGGTCATCACTCTGGTCATTTGTGCCTATGCTCAGAGGTTTAAAGCTATGTGTCCTACATTGAGTAGCCCCTGTCTCCTCCCTGCCTGCTGACTGTCACTGTGGCCTCTCTTCCTTTCCCATCTGCTGTAAGGTACACGCAATGCTTTGGTGGAGTCCTGAGGCTGAGTGCAGAGGCTCAGAACTGTCTGTCTCTCAGGAGCAAACCTCTCAGCTGTCCCAGCAGCTTCTCCGGACTCAGTCCAGGAGCGAAGGCAGCCAGAGGTCTGACCTTGGATAAGACGGCTGCTCTCCATTACAAGTGCTAGACATCGTGCTGAAGGAAGCAGAGGGGAAGTTAATTCTCACAGAGTGCCTGGCACTCAGCAGACTCTCAATGAAATCTGCTGAATGAGAGGCACGTCAAACAAAAGCCCGAGAGGAACCCGCAGGGACAAGAGCAAAGGAGGGTGTTCCACGGTGGGGGAATGGCAGGAGCAGAGACTGGGAACCCAGCAGCCAGCCTGGCTCAGCTCCTACAGACCAACTGCAGGGACTGACTGGGTTTGGTCCCTGAGGGCATGGCAGGGTGACCTCCAACACCAAGCCTCTCTGTAGTTGACTCCCCTCCTCAGGCCTCCTCAGGCCTCCTCAGGCCATGCAGAGGCAAAGGGTCATCCCAGGGAGAGCCAGGGGCCGCAGGGCCACCAGCCAAGAGGAGCAGCTGTTTTCAATAAGCTGCTTGGCCCTGAGGGCAGGCCTGGAAATGTCCCTGAGTCAGCAGAAGCTGCCAGCCCCACCCTGTTGAAGGGCCAACCCTGGGGACCCAGCACCCCACCCTGCCCCACCTTCTGCTAGAGGCTCTGTGCATGTCCCTGCACACATTGGACCTGTGTGGGGGGAGGTGGGCCGGCCCTTCCCTAGCACAGGGCAGTTACAGGACACAGGGCTCAATGCCCTGTCCACCTCTGCAATATCCCCACCCAGATCCCGGCTCTTGCGGGCTTCTGTCTCCCCTCCACCCTCCAAGCTTTTCACACTCTCCTCCCTCCTCCCGACTGCCCCTGCATTCCAGCCAGGCCAGACTGCCTGCTCTCCATTACTTAAAGTGCATGTGACTCCACTGGGCTCAGCCAGCCGCTGTCACACGGTCAGTGGTGTGTCTCTCCCTCCAGCCATGGTGCGCTTCCTCCATCACTTATTTCTGGAGATGCTCTCCTCCCCCTTAAAATCTATGTGTTGCAAAATGTGACATGCTGTGCTTCAGGAAGATGTTAAAGCAAACTCTGAGCAGGGAATGGGTGGAGAGGTGGGTTCCTCACCTCCACTAAATCAATGCAAAAGAAGGGTGATGTGAAGGGGGTGGTGGGCAACAGGATGAGACACAAATTCAAATCCGGAAAGGCAATTTTCACCCTCCCCGCAACTCTGCGGGGTCCCCTGGGTCCCCCGGGTGGTGCCAGGTGACTAGGGCTCCCTGGCCCCATCCCTCCACTCTTGGCGATTTCGTGGTGTTTGATCTCCCCCTCTGCTGACTTTTGTCTCCTCCCACTAAAGCATCATAATCTTATCGTCCTGTCCTTTCCCAGGCTCCATCTTGTAGAATGAAACGGGGTTGCCGCCAGGCCGCGACAGAAGCGGTCTCCAAGGATCTCCAAGCTCGGGTCCTCCAGGCTCCGGTCCGGCTGGTCACTCCTAGGGAGCTCGTCCGACCTTTCCCCAGCTCTCTGCGGCGCCTTTCAGGGGCGGGAGACCCCTTCCTCCCTTACCCGGGGCGGGGGGGTGGTTCTGGGTGCTCGCCGCTGCTGCACCCCCCTCGGCCACGCACCCTCCTCTTCGGTGCACCGCATTTCTCGCCCACGGGCTCCCCTTTCCGCGCGCCCCCGGCCTCGGCCATGCGCATCCCCCTCTGTGCGCGCTCCCCGCGATGTGCCCCCCACGTCGGCGGCGCCCCCTCTCGGGGCGGCCCCGACCTCCGCGGTACTCATCCCCCTCCGTGCGCCCCGCCCCCGCGATGTGCCCCCTCGGCGGTGCCCCCTCGGGGCGGCCCCGGCCTCGGCCGTGCGCATCCCCCTCTGTGCGCCCCCCCACCGCGATGTGCCCCCTCGGCGGTGCCCCCTCTCGGGGCGGCCCCGGCCTCGGCCGTGCGCATCCCCCTCTGTGCGCCCCCCCCCCGCGATGTGCCCCCTCGGCGGTGCCCCCTCTCGGGGCGGCCCCGGCCTCGGCCGTGCGCATCCCCCTCGGTGCGCCCCCCCACCGCGATGTGCCCCCACGTCGGGGCGCCCCCTCTCGGCAGCGCTCCCCAGAGCGCTTGGGCGCCGGGCCTCCCGCCCCCACCCCGGCCGCGAGGTCAGCCGCTCCCCAGCCCGCGCGGCCCGCAGCCCCCGGCGCCGTCTGCTCGCCCGAAGCCAAAATAAACACGGCAAAGCCACTTCCTTCCCCAGGGGGCCGCTTTCACCGGGACGGGCGGCTCGGCCGCGGCAGGAAGCGCTTTCGGGGCTGCACCATCCAGCCCCACGGACGCGCCCGCGCCGCGCCGAAGGCAGGACTAGGGACTGGGGCAGGCGGGCCCGAGGCGCAGAGGTCACCGGACCCCGCGCCCCCGCGGTTCTGTCTGTCGGAGGAAAGTCCCGGACGGAGAAGTTCATACTGCCTCTGACAAGGGCCCCCCAACAGCGCCAGGTTGGGTACTCCATACCCGGTCGACTGAGGATGAATAAATAAAGGAGTGAGAGAAATAACTTATTAGGAAATTCTCAGGCAAATTTGGGGATAGTAATATTTTTTAAATTTAGTTTTGGGGGGCACCTGGTGGCTCAGTGGTTGAGCAGCTGCCTTTGGCTCAGGTCGTGATCCCCAGGGTCCTGGGATGGACCCTGCAGGGAGCCTGCTTCTCCCTCTGCCTGTGTCTCTGCCTCTCTGTGTGTGTCTCTCGAATAAGTAAATAAAATCTCTAAAAAATAAATAAAATTTATTTTGGGGGCTCCTGGGTAGCTCTGTGGGTTGAGTCTGGGGCTCTTGATTTCAGCTCAGGTCATGATCTCAGGGTTGGTGAGATCCCGCCCCATATCTGGCTCCCTGTTCAGCAGGAGTCTGCTTCTCTCCCTCCTCTCCCACT